CAGCCAAGATGCTCCTCTCGAACTAGGAATAGAAAATGCATCTGAGACACCCCTCTCGGGTTATATATGAAAATGCACCTAAGATATCCCTTTTGGGATAAACATGAAATTGTGCCCGAGACACTCCTCTCGAGCTAAGTATGAAAATATGCACAATATGTCCCTCTCATGTTCAGATTGAAAATACATCCAAAGTGTTACTTTGAGGATAAGCATGAAAATATGCTTGAGACGCTTATGGAAGGTGGGAAACCACAAGTCTGGCACATAAGAACTGTCAAACACATCGAGAGCTCTTCTACCATGCTAGAATTGGAGTGAGGCATGCCTCGGTGTCATTGGAAGACCCTGACACCTTTGGGGGTGGAGGGGTGACAAATGATAGGGGGAGAATTCTCTTTAGCCCAATCTACGATAAAGGTCTACTAATTTATTGTTATTGAGATTAATTACTATTCACATATACTCCACTCTCCACTTCGACTTTAGTTTAAACGTCATAAGGATATGATTTGACACCCAACTCGATTATGATCTTTTTGTAGGTCAGTTCTCAAGCGAGCACCTAAGTCACCTCCTCAATCATTTCTAAACTCCTACACATATAACTAAGGATCAAATTGGGCCGAGAGAGATATCATCGGCCATCACCATCATCAACATTTGAACATTAAGTATTCAACTTCATGTATGTCCTTTTTTACGTTTTACCATAGTATTTTTTTACCCTAGAAATCACTAATGGAGCAACAAGAAAGACCACTGTAGTTTCATCCTTTTTTAATGACTCCATAAACTATTATTTCAATCCTTATTGGCTTCTCTCATGAGAAATCATGTCACAAGTAAGCAACTTGGTTATCGATCCCTTAAAAACATGCATATTGCTTTGCATCAAGGTGGAAGTGATGGAAAGAATAGAAGATAAGAACAATTATTGAAGAAGTTTTATTGAAGTAGCTTTAGCTTGAATACATTAACATGTCCCTCTCCTATTTATACAGATTAGGAGGGAGAATTTTCCTCAATAGAATAGAGGATTTTCCTCAATAGAGTAGAGAGATTTCCTCATATAGTTGGGAAAATCTTATCTGCTATCATGCCCTGATGGTGCTCCTGTCAAGGATACCAATCTTAGATTGATGCAAAGCAAATAGTTTATGAGCTAGAGACTTCTTGAGTAGGGCAAGAGTATATCGCTACTGCTGTTGTTGCTGTTGCTATTGTTACGACTGCGACGGCAACAGTTGCAATAGAGGAGAAAGCTGCAACAATGGAAAAAGCTATAGCAATGCTATAGTAGAGGAAGAAGCTGCAGAGGAGGAAGTTGCAGCGATGTTGCAATGATGCTATAGCAGAAGAGGAAGCTACAGCAGAAGTGCAGCAGAGGAGAAAGCTGCAATAGAGGTGCAGCAGAAGAGGAAAGGTGGGGCAGTGCTAGTGAGCGTAGCACTAGAGACGCCACAGTAGAAGGGAATAGACTTTGGCATAGAGGGACAGTGGAGAAGATAGTTGTCGTTCGTCGAGGAGGAAAGATTTATCGCACCGATGGCCTAACGATGGAAAAACAGTAGTAGAAAGCCTTTTCTTTTGTCGCCGGAAGTGGAGAAGCAATAGTGATGAGTCGACAGCGAGAAGAGAGCTTGCTCTAGGCAAACGGCTCTGATACCATGATGAAAGAATAGAAGATAAGAACAATTATTGAAGAAGCTTTATTGAAGTAGGTTTAGCTTGAATACATTAACATATCCCTCTCCTATTTATACAGATTAGGAGGGATGATTTTTCTCAAAAAGATTTTCTCATATAGTTATATAGTTGAAGAAATCATTTCTGCTATCAAAAGAACACAGCAACAATCGAGCAAGACAGAGCACTAATAAATTTGCACTGAAAGATCAACATCATGATCTCCATGCTCCACTCTTGAGACATGAGGTGATAGAGTTGCTGTGGTGCATCATTTGTTTCCACGGTAATATCCCACAGTCCGTTTGTTTTATCTTTGCCTTCACCTTCAATAATGTCCCCAAACCTACTGAGAGCCTCAAGTTTGTGATAAAGAAATAGAAAACACAAGCTTCTCTCTCTCTCTCTCTCTCTCTCTCAGCCTGAAATATTTTGTTCCCTTCCCTTCTTTCATATTCCTTTTTTTCTCATGAGAGACTAAGAAACTATGGTTTGAGCACCACAAGAAAAGACAAAAAAAACTCTTTTGATTTATAGCAAAACCAAATGAAACTTGTGAGGATGATATCCGACCCATTAAGCCAATTATGGGGGGACATGTCAAAAAAACAAGCAACTCGTCTTTCCACACGAAACCCCACACGAATCGAGTTGTTTGGCTTTTTATCCGTGGAAATAATGTGGCTATTCGTGATCCAAGAGAGCATAATGCGTTTGTCTCGGAGGCTTGTGAGCCACCACATTTTGTAGGTTTTCAGCCATGTGAAACATATGATCAGTATCTTATTTTTTGCTACCTACCTGATTGATAACGCATTGTGCCGGGCGAATGTATAAATATTCGCACATATCTAATCGTGTGCATAGAAAAACGTTAATCGGATTGCATTTATGTTTGCTTCTAATAATTTTGTTCTGAGGAAATTTGCTGTAATTTTAATTTCAATTAATAGATCATTTTTATCCTCATTAAAGAGAATCTTGCAAAGGAAACATACGTAGAAAGAAAAAAAAAATGTTTTAGAAAACGCAAATATAACGAAATCCTTCTAAAGCATAATTCAAAGATTTATTTAATCGTGAAAACGACCTCCTAATTTGTATGCATAAAAAAAAATTTAATTAAATCGTATTCACAATAATTCTCTGATTGCAGAATCGTGCAATCTGATTGGTACCCACCAGCTTATTGGGGGACCCCACCCCATTCAATGGCCGAAACGACGTCGGAGAGGACGCATCTGGCCCTTGATTGGTCCATCGATTGTGTGGCCCCACAAATTAATTGATTATTACAGGACAGGAAGGTCGGTTGGGCGATGGGGAAGGAGGAACGAGTCTTAAGTCTCCTTTTGCCCAACTTGTTATGGCTTTTGGATTCTTCGGAGAGAGCTTCCAAAATGGTCATTAAATCAAATGGAAACATGGACCATCATAATAAATCTTTCTCAAGTGATGTGATAGGATATTATTCCATATAATAAATCGGATACATTAATCCATATTAGTCTAAAATGATTTGATGATAATTTAAACAATACGTTATACTTTAATATACTTTAGCCTTGGGGATAGTCGGTCACCCAAATCAAGATTTTTAGCATTATATTTTTGGATAAGTTTCGATCCGTATTTATCAGTCCATCTGATGTTTATTTAATATTTATGCAATCTCCTTCTATCTAATTGGCTTATTTCATGTCTCAAATGTAATCTAGTTTGTAAATGTAATAGATTGATCCATTTCCACAATATATAGAATAGTCAGAGCCACTAACTCCCTTTTTCTACTGGCTGATCTAGTTTATTTTTATATTAATTTATAATATTTTTAGTAAAACTATGAAAATATTATAATACTATATATATATATATATATGTATGTATATATATATAGTTATAGTATTGTTAAAAAAACTATAACATGATGTAAAAACACTATAGCTGGACCGATTTACCCTATGAACCGATATGTAGGAAGGTGGAGGAAAAAGTGGGAGATGATTGATTGTAAGATCACTAGTATTCCATGTATTAGGTAAAAATAAAATCACGTTAGAAAATTCTGAATATGGGAGATTGTTTCTGGGGAAAAATCCAACAAAAAGAATTTTTTTCATAAATTCATCCTTTCTTTCTTTTATATGTATTTTATATTATAATATATATTTTTTTATGATATATGATGTTTTGGCTTGTTTGGCTGAAGTTAGTCTGCATTATTTAAGATCGTACGACTCGATACATTTTGTTTTCGTACATCCATCACTAGTAAAATCATATTAAATGATAGATTACCGTCAATTCATCCGAAAGTAGAAGTGGATAATGAGATAGGACTCATTCTTATGAAAAGTCATGCCGCGTATGTTTTTTCTTTTGTTGTAGGTCAAATAGAAGATCACTTCATGAAATCATTCATTCACTGTACATGTAACGGATTTGGGCAAACATGCATGCTTTGCACACGCATTAGATAAAATACCGACGTATTTTAGTGAATATTTATTTATTGGGGTAGGAGAATGTGAACCGTGTGGGTGGATACGTTACAATAAGAGTGAGAGAGAGAGAGAGAGAGAGAGAGAGAACACAACATGAGTACGTTACCTTCCTTGCTTTTGCATCTTTAGGCATCAAGGTGGGGTATTATAGGTTGGACATGGTATGCATACAAAGCAACATGATTTTGTCTATTACTAGAACGGTCAAAGTCAAAATTGGCCTTACAGTAAGAATGAACTTATATTACGTTTTGATTAGGCTAAGCTTTTGCCAATCGACAAATCTTCCAATATTTAGCACCATAATTTCTTTCATTAATTGATTCTTTTTTACTTTCAGTTCTTAATATGTAGATGAATCAACATCCAAATCTATTACAATCTACCTAAACTTTTGGAGGTAGTGGTTCTTATTATCCTATCTTTCAAAGCACTACATCAAAAGAAATTATCAATGTTCTTACGTCTATAAATTTTTATCATATATATATATATAAATATATATATATTCAAATTTTTTACTCGTTCCGTTCAAAGTTTTATTATATGGACACGTACTCTTCCGAGTTAAATATACATCTGAACGCTGGATTGAGACCACAAGGAGATGAGGTGACGTTGACTGTCCACGCACGTCACGTTTGTTGACCGTATTCAACGAAACTACGTTACAACCCCTCACCAGCGCACCACGAGACGCGGCATACTATCACATGGCACGCAGCAGTTGCTTTGATTGGTGAGAGATGCAGCAGTCGTCTATAAAGGGCCCCTCCCCCTCCTCCTCCCTCTATTCCGTCCCCCACCGCATAGGAAAGCAGAAGAGGAAGAGAAGGCGTGAAGACATATATTATACATGGTGAAGGAAGGAGGAGGGGAGGGATTGCGAGTGCTGGGGAAGTACGTGCTGGGGCGGACGCTTGGCGAGGGCAACTTCGGCAAGGTGAAGTACGCTAAGCACGTCGAAACCGGGCAGGCCTTCGCCGTCAAGATCCTCGACCGCAGCCGCGTGCAGTCCCTCAACTTCAGCGATCAGGTAAGCTCGTGTGTTGTTGTCGTCCTCTTTCTGAGGAGGAGGAGGAAGAGGAGGAGGAGCTGACTGTTCTGCGTTGCTGTCAGATTAAGAGGGAGATCGGCACGTTGAAGCTGCTGAAGCATCCGAGTGTAGTCAGGTTACACGAGGTCTGATCTCCATCTTCCTCCCTGTCCTCTATGATTCAGGAGAACCATCATCAGGATTCCACTTAGGAACATTTAGGAAATGGAGATTCCAATTCCACCTGTTGTCTTCGTCCTCTAATTATATCCTGCGGGGTGGGTGAACCCGTGAACCGGACTAGCCGCCGTGGGGCCCATTTGGGACAGGCCCACAGGTCACGTAGTCTAATTCATCGGTGACAGAATGGCATCTATATTGCATGCGTGTCTCAGCAACACATGGGACATTAGCATCATGCCTTTCTACGTTTGATGCATCCATTTTTCTTAAAAGAAAAAGGAAGCATCATATCATGCATGTGATTCTTTGAACCACGACAGTACCTACAGACCTTGAATGAGATGTCATTCGTCACTTTTACTTGCTGTCTTAACTAATTGATGGACATATCACCAATTGGTTCTTTTGTTATTGTACTTGTTTTTTCTTATACACGACCTCTTTTTAATGCAGGTGTCAGCAAGCAAAACTAAGATTTACATGGTGCTTGAATACGTAAATGGTGGCGAATTGTTCGACAAAATTGTAAGAATTCTGGTCCCTATTAACTGTTTGGTAGTTTACTGCTTCATGTTGGATATATTGTCTCTATTATTCTATCAGTTCTTGAGTGAATCAGTTGTTGATTCATCATTCTTATACTGGCATGATCGATTACAAAGGCACTGAAGGGAAGGCTCTCGGAACGCGAGGGTCGGAAGCTTTTCCAGCAGCTGATTGATGCTGTAAGCTACTGTCATGACAAGGGAGTCTACCACAGAGATTTGAAGGTAATCGGTGTAGATTTGCTTGAGCACTTAAACGGCTTGTTCTTCTCTGTGTGCTTTATGTATGACACCTTTTCTCTTCACATGATGCAGCCAGAAAATGTTCTTGTGCATGGAAAGGGCAACGTAAAGGTTTCAGATTTCGGCCTCAGCGCCTTACCACAACATGTTGGGGTATGTTCTTCTTGTTCTTGTTTGCGTTGGCCAAAACCAAAATGACGAGAGCTCATGTTTCAACTTCCTTCCTGCCTTATTGTCTCAGAATGATGGGTTGCTGCATACAACCTGTGGAAGCCCCAACTATGTTGCACCTGAGGTAACACACCCTGATTTAAAGGATGAACATTTTGGATACTCGTGCTTCATAAACATTTCATTTGACAATTTCTTTTTATGAAATTATTTCTAGGTTCTTAAAAATAGAGGATATGATGGTGCGAGATCAGACATATGGTCTTGTGGTGTCATCCTATATGTGATTCTTACAGGGTCTCTTCCATTTGATGACAGAAATCTTGCTGTGCTTTGTCAGAAGGTATGTAGTGGATTGGTGGATGATTTATGTTTTGTGAGGAGAAGATGATGGAAAATAATGGCAATGTTTCTCCATTTGTTCAGATCTTTAGGGGGGACACAAAGATCCCTAGGTGGCTCTCCCCTGATGCTCAAGACCTGTTGAGAAGAATGCTTGATCCAAATCCCATCACAAGGATAGATGTAGCTGGGATCAAAGCACATGACTGGTTCAAGCAAGACTACACCCCAGTCATCCCCATTGATGATGATGATGATGATGATGATGATGATTTAGTTCCATATAGTGAACCATCTTCCACTAAAATGGTAAGCAATGAATGAATTTTCTGATACTACATGGAAGTACTAGTTTGATCCTTCATGCCACTTTTGAGGGCTGTGATACTGACTTAATTCCCCTTATGTTTTGCAAGCATAATGAGTCAGATGAAAAGGGAACTACTCCAACCCAAATCAATGCATTTCAACTCATTGGCATGTCTTCCTCTCTTGATCTCTCTGGTTTTTTTGAGAAAGAGGTAACTTGTTGTCTGCTGATTACTGAATTGACTAACGTATAAGAAAGTAGACCCGACAAAAACGCCTCTGCTGACTGACTTTTGTAGGATGTCTCAGAGAGGAAAATAAGGTTCACATCCAATCATTCACCCAAACACCTGTTTGAGAAGATTGAGCATATTGTTACTGAAATGGGGTATCAAATCCATAGAGGACATGGCAAAGTAAGTGCTTGGTACTTCATCTGATAATTCCATCTGAGGCCAGTCCAATAATAAAAGCATTCAGAAATTACAACTAGTTGTTGTTAAATCCATTCTTTGGCAGCTGAAAGTTAGCCACCAAATCAAGAGTTCGAAGTTCCCAAGGATCTCTTCTTCACTCTCAGTTGCTGCAGAGGTAAATCTTGATCATCTTCTTGCTCACACTTCCACTTACACAGTTTCCTATTAATCCTCTGTTGATCCCAATTCTCTACAATGGTGATATCAGGTGTTTGAGCTCAGTCCATCTCTGTATATTGTGGAGCTAAGAAAATCTCATGGAGATTCTTCATTATATAGACAGGTATGAAGTTGAACTTGTCATTACGAGCTTAGAAGCTGCAGCTAAAAGAAACCTCCGGTTTGTAGCTGATGAAGTAGCTTCACAGTTCTAAACCAAGCAGTTTGATTCTTCCTCTGGTGATTGCAGTTGTGCACGAGGCTGTCAGGAGATTTGGGTGTCCGCAAGAGCCAACAACACATCTGCAAGGCGCTGTCGATGCCGGAACTCAACAGTTTCAGAGGAGATATTATTGAGGATAGAGAGCAAGGAAACGATAAAATAGAATATTGTAATGCAATTAAAAGATAATGCTTTCAATAAAAGAAATTGATATAGAAACAAGAGGTAAGATATAGAACATTTACAAGATATTCCCAAATACATACTCTCATTTGCTTATGAACTATGATCCTATTTATAAGACCTAATAGTAATTATATCTCATCATGTCACTCAAAGTTAAATGTAGGCACTAACCCCATAACTTTTACATCATGAGTCATTATTTAGAACATGTTTATAACTATATAGAACATGACAATTATCTAGATAATTACTATGAATCAGAATAGATATACTGATGCAAATATGGTTTATGCCGTTGTATGTTGTCAATAATAATTCTGAAATTTAGACTTGTGAAATGGAGTATACAGTATAATCATTTCGTGATTTATAATCTACCTTAAGGGGGTTTTACTAATATTTCGGAGAACGAAAAGTAACTGAGAGTACGTGATGTCAACCTTGATGTTGAAGAATGAAGACGTGGGAGTCTCCTACGTTTTCTCTCGATAAATGCAGCAGCTCGAGGTGGAGTTTGTCGAGGGCCTTCGCGACAAAAAACAAGCAGTTCAGCCTCTTATGTCGAGTGAGCTTGACCCAAGTTCAGCTCATCGTCCACGATTTGGACGTCCACGAGTTTCGTAGCGTTCCCTTGGAGGGACGGTCAACACCCGCCATGAGAGGCATTAGGAAGGAGCTCTCCATCTCCAAAGCTGCTTGGGCTCCAGCCCAAAGCAGTTATGCTTCACCCTCTCCCTTCTATGCCGCTTCTTTCCTTACCAGTATCTTGAGCTCTCAAACTGTCCTCGGCAGGTCTTTGATGTACTTTAAACTATTGGCAACTATGGAGGCCCTGTCAGGCTTAAATTAAGGCCACAAAACATATATGATTTAGTCCATGATGTTGGGCTGATGGCCCATATTCAGCCCATGTGGGCTTTATCAGCCCACAGCCCACACCCTCTCTTAACCTAACCCTAATTAAGATTAGGGGGGTGTGGTGGCTGTGTTTTAGAGGCAGATTAAGGCTATAAAAAGGCAGCAATGAGGCAGAT